TAAGATCCGTGACTGGGTCTGTGAGTTTTCAGATTAGGAACAGGGCTTCCATGTTTAGCGATCGGAGATGTATGACAGCACTTTACAAGAGTGAAATGTGTAGCTAGGTTTGGGGAAATACCGCTCATGGCTTCACTGCCTCTGTTCACCATTACCGCTCTATACAAGAAGGGTGATGGAGTAGCCTAGTGGTTAAAGTGTTCGCTCATTACACTGCAGATTAAGGTTCGTTTCTCACAAAAGTTCAATCCGCACAATTTAAGTGAGAATTGCTGGAATACTGCTAAAAGCGTAAAACCATACTCATTCACTCACTCATTCTGCACATCATTGTGGTTTGCCTTGATAGAGAACAGGACAATGTATCTAATAATATTAAGAAACAAACTCCGAGAATTCGGTTTTGACTGTGAGTTTGTTTCTTATTGTTTGTTGTTTTACCCCGCACTCAGCAATATTCTAGTTATATGACGGTGGTCTGTAAATAATCGAATCTGGATCCGACAATGATAATATCATGAGCACCGATCCACGCAATTGGGATCGATGACATGCATCAACCAAGTCAGCGAGCCTGACCACCCGATCCCGTTAGTTGTCTCTTACGACAAGCATAGTCACCTTTTAACGCAAGGATGGGTTGCTGGAGACCTATTCTACCCCGGATCCTATGGATAGAATGGTTATTATTATTAGTTACATGGATAGAGTTGCGTGTCGTCTTTGAAGCAGATCAAGGCTGACTACAGCCCCTGATGGTGGAGTTAATGGCGGGTTTCTTGCCACTGTTGGGAGTCATTCTAAGAAATGTATACAACGCACAGTTCGAACGATTCCCGTTTTGTTGGTTGGTTGGTTGGTTTATTGTGTAACGCCGCACTCAGCAATATTCCAGCTACATGACGGCGTTCTGTAAATAATCGAATCTGGACCAGAAAATCCAGTGATTAATATCATGAGCACCGATCCACGCAATTCGGATCGATGACATGCATCAACCAAGTCAGTGAGCCTGACCACCCGATCCCGTTAGTTGTCTCTTACGACAAGCATAGTCACCTTTTAACGCAAGGATGGGTTGCTGGAGACCTATTCTAACCCGGATCCTATGGATAGAATGGTTATTATTATTAGTTACATGGATAGAGTTGCGTGTCGTCTTTGAAGCAGATCAAGGCTGACTACAGCCCCTGATGGTGGAGTTAATGGCGGGTTTCTTGCCACTGTTGGGAGTCATTCTAAGAAATGTTTTTGTAGACACATTGATCACTCTGTCCAATCGCAGTGAGGTACTGACTTTGTCTCCTGTTGCAGGACGCGGTTCCTCAATGACGAGTGGATGGGGGAGAGGGGTTACCTGGAGGATGAAGAGGAGGAACCCAGCAAGTAGACAGGTAAGTGTTTGCTTCATCTATTTCAACTATGTCGAATCTGGACCAGACAAACCAGTCCTTTTTATTATGAGCAACGAAACACGTTGCTAATGTGTGTTTGTTGTTTAACGCCTCTATATTAATGAGGCCAGATATATGATGTCGGACTGTAAATAATCAAACCTGGACCAGACAATCCAGTGATTGACATCATGAGCATCGATCCACGCAAGTTTACATGGGTTGTCAGCAACGTTTTCATTCTGTTTCAGATCGAGGTTAAGATCGGCTTTTATCGTCAATATTGTGGCGTCCATTGCAAGAGATACAAGTGTGTCGTCAATTGACGTCACTAAAGGTCGTGACGACGTCACAAAAGCCCGGTGGAAGTCGACACAATGTATATAATGTACAGCTGATATCATCTCCCATATAAGTACATGCTCATCTTGTTCAAGGTTTCAACAGCATGCACACTAAACTGGCATTAGTATCTACACTTTCCACTAATCACAGCACCACCCAGCAGCAATGCCCTGAAACACAGCATGCAGCAGAAACTGACATCAGTAGCTACACGTTTCACTAATCGCAGCCCCGCCCAGCAGCAATGCCCTGACACACAGCATGCTGCAGAAAGTGACATCGGTAGCTACACGTTCCACTAATCGCAGCACCACCCAGCAACAATGCCCTGAAACACAGCATGCTGCAGAAACTGTTCACTTGACAGAAACAATATGGCGGTGACATGCGGATCTATTAAACATGTAGGCTTAGAGTATATTGATTTTTTGCTTTTCATTTTCATTATTTCATGAACGTAAACTCATGTAATTAGGAAGTATGTGTAAAACTGTTTATGTTGCATTGTCGAGTGATTGCTTCATGCAACAATACATGTAGAATAGCGATTTATAAATGTTCCAAGGCAGAGGATACGTTGTTAAGTATTATATAGCTGTGTTGAGGTGCATGTAGGTACATAGAACTTTCACCTCAAGTAAAACGACAATTTATGTAAATGCATGTTTTGAATTTTGGATGTGTACATTCTGTAAAAATGTATTGTATGATGCAATCAATCTGAAAATAAACCAGTTTATTAATGTATACAAACGTTTGTTACAAATTTTACTTGGTATGAAAGTAGTGCCAGCCGTGAATGTGTGTGTGTGTGTGTGTGTGTGTGTGTGTGTGTGCGTGCGTGTGTGTGTGTGTGAGAGAGAGAGTTGTGGGCTGTATCTTGGATATATCACGGTGTGTCAGATGGATGTGGGAGGAACAGGATGTAACGCAGGTGAATGCCACGAACTCGGGTCTGGAACCATACTCATTGTCAAACTGAGATTCTAACCCCGATCACAGGATTCCAGAGAGTCGTCTCACGTTATCTGGACCGCCTCCATGGTCTAGTGGTAGAGCGTCCACCTGGTGAGCGGAGGTCCGGTATTCGATCCCAGGCCGCGTCATACCAAAGACGTTAAGAGATGGTACATGTTGTTACCCTGTCTGGCACTCGGCATTAAGGGGCTAAATCATGAACTGGTCGGCACGGAGTCAGTATACTGTGTCTGAGTGGAGTATTCATGTAAACATGCAGCATGGTATCTCAGTGGGCTAGCACTAGAAATCGGCATCAGTCCGGACAAGTACAAGCAGCCACACACACGTGCAAGCACGTCGCTTTTTAAGTGCAATATTCTTGGACGCGACGTTAAATTCCATTTTATCTCACCTCACGTCACGTCATCTAAACGTATCCGATACCAGGGACTTTGGCTGCGAACTCTGGTTCAAAATTTCCCGCCCAGGGATACTGCTATTTGCCCTTGGTATTTCAACACGTTGTCCTCCCAAGACCTCCCAAGGCCTCCCAAGCCATACCGGATGAGACACATGATATGTTCTCCTGAGACACATTTTATGCTCTGTGCCTTCGTCCTCTGTTGGGGTGTAGTGGTAGAGCGCCTGCCTTTTAGTGAAACGTCGGTTGTTTGATCACCTGCCGTGTGATGCCTAAAGACGTTAAAATATGGTACTTGTTGTTACCCTGCCTGGTGCTTGTCATTAAAGAGAATAAAATAAGGACCGGTTGGCTCGGAGGCAGTACATTGTGAGTGGGGTATTCATGTTTAACTGTGACATGGTATTTCAATGGGCTAGCACTGTCAAACCAGCCTTAATCTTGATCCGCGCGCAAACAGACAGACAGACAGACAGATAGACAGACAGACAGATAGACAGACAGACAGACACAGAATGCACAGTAGTGGTCTGTACCTTCTCATCGGGTAAGCATTCATGTATTATCAGGGCAACATTTTCTCACGAGGCACATAAACACGTTGTATGTATACAATAATAGAACTGTTAAACGGATACCTCCAACATTAAATATTAGAGGTTGAATAGTCTTTTTGTCAAATCGCCCAATACCAGCGTTGACTATTCAATCAAAAATATTATTAGATAAGGAACAACGCTCAGTACTTAAATGTTCACTTGGAAAAATGCACAATCAATGGAAATTTGTGAAAATAACGCCAACAATTACACACGAAGAATTAGACCATTTATTAATGTCTTGATTTTTGACCAGATGGTCATATTTATAAGTAAGTTCCTAATTGCAATCACGAGAATAGTACAATCAGGAATTCCGTACACCCACTGAATTCGGGCCCAAAACCATTATTTGACATAAGCTATACAAAGCAGAGTTCAAACGATTCCCGTTTCGTAATTTGGTAAAGTATTGCCAGTTGAATATTTACTCGTCCTTTTCATGCCTTGAAATTGTTTGAATCATCAAATCTATTCAATTTGTTTATAAACAGATCAATATTTGGACAACATTCAGTTTTGTGTGCAACCCATGCTTGCCGTTAAAGGCGACTATGCTTGTCGTAAGAGGCGACTAACGGGATCGGGTGGTCAGGCTCGCTGACTTGGTTGATGCATGTCATCGATCCCAATTGCATGGATCGATGTTCATGATATAAATCACTGGATTGTCTGGTCCAGAGTCGATTACTTACAGACCGCCGTCATATAGCGGGAATATTACTGAGTGCAGCATTAAATAACAAACAAACACAATCTTAGAAAGGAGGGCACCAACCCAACGTGGAGGATCCGGAAACCAGTCTAAATAGTGAGTGACAGCAGTCCTTCTCTTAGACTTGTTTGCCTGCCCTATGTACGCTTGCGCTCCTCGCCGCTTGAGGGCGAAGGACAGGGTACCAGTCTAAGCTGGGACACGTTTCTCATTTCACAATATCATTCGCGACCAACTAGTGTTATTCTCATGTATAGTGTAGGTTACGGAAAGGGGCGAGTGGTGTCGAATGCTTCTCTTGGATGGGAGAGCAGCGACAACAAGCGAAGGATGCGAGAAACAGCCTACGCTAGTGCTGTGCAAGAGCTTCCTTTCGCTATGTGAATACAAGGTAGCGCCGGGAACGAGGCATCGCTGTGAGGAGCTGGGATATACAGCTAAATTTAGCACTGTGTTTTTCCACGGACCTGTATAACAAGTCCGTGGTTTTTCCAATTGAAACTTGTCTTGACAGGGTGGGGATCCCGTCCACGCATATCCCCATGATACAACACAGTAAGTAAGTGTCGGCGGATTTATGCTTGTCTGTAATCATCACTATGTAACTATTTAATGTCGGGTTGAATTTGAGAACGAATAGTTAAGTGTGTATACTAACATTGATGCGATGTTGGTGAGATAACGAAACTCGCTGTGAAACGTTGTGAGTGTGTAGTTTTCATACAATCATGAAAAAAGTTTCTCTAGCAGAGTTACCTCCCTTATGCTAAGCGTACTGTACGTTTACTCCTTTGCCCTGACACGTCAACTATTCACGCTGTAAAAACTCAGTAGAAAAGTGTTCACACCTCGCTACACGGAAAACAGGTCAACATTCACGCCTGTCACCATGACAAAAACTTGGTCCCCTTGATAACTGAGCCTGAAAAAAATATTTTCATACTGATTTATACATTTCATATGTACGCATATTACTTTACATGTTTGAGGCAAATATATGGTTTCTTAGAAAAAAAGGTTTAAATCTATTTAACTCATTACTCATATCATAGAGTTTATCCCCCTTTCATCATAGTGCCCGACTAACAAAAACATGTTCAGTGTACCAATGTACAGTTAGGAATGGTTTAACCTTTAGCCTGCTGAATTGTTTTAGCATAAGGCGCTGTAAAGAGGGTGACAAGTTATCTTTTAAAAATTACAATATTCCAAATATTACTCATCCACATACTCCTTTCTCAAACAAAGAAACAAATAAAGCACGGTATGCACGGCACGCAATAATTGTACCAATAGTCACAACTTTTACTGCAAATATGCTACTTTTGGAAAGTTGACATGACTCGCCCAACCGAGAACCGAGAGCAGCGACCCAACGCGGTACCCAGTCTAACCAGCTGGTGACAGTAGGCCTTCTCCTAGACGGGTTTGTATCCCCTAGTGCGCTTGCGCTCTTTGTCGCATTACTTGTGCCGCCTCAATGAGGCAAAGGACAGGGTACCAGTCAAAGCTGGGCCCCGTCTCTCATATCACAATTTAACCTTGACGATGCGCATAAGGAGCCTGTAACCAGGTTAGGTGCCAGTCTATCCTGGATGGGAGAGCAGCGACACCAAGCGAAGGATGCGGGAAACAGTTTACGCAAGCGCTGTGCAGGAGCTTCCTTTCGCTATTTGAAAACAAGGTAGCGCCGGGAACGAAGCATCGCTGTGAGGAGCTGGGATATACAGCTAAATTTAGCACTGTGTTTTTCCAGTTGCAACGTGTCTTGACAGGGTGCGGATCTCATCCACGCATATCCCCATGATACAACACAGTAAGTAAGTGTCGGCAGATTTATGCTTGTCTGTTATCATCACTGTGTAACTATTTATTGTCGGTTGAATTTGAGAAGGAATAGTTCAGTGTGTATACTGATATGGACGCGATGTTGGTGAGTGAGATAACGAAACTAGCCCAGTAGCGTCAGGAAGTACAACTGTGTCTGTTCGTCCCGTTGTTACAGAATGGGGAAATCCAGTATATAACATAAACAAGGGATAGATTTATTTTTACTTACAAAGATCGCTGCTTGTAGATTTATTTTACCCCCGGGAGTATATAGATATACAAAGGTCCTGTCCATCCGTACGTCCGTCTCTCCGTCCGTCCGTCCGTCCGTCCGAAAATTTTGACCGCGCGATTTTTCCGAAACTATTTAGTAGATTCATCTCAAACATAGTACGTTTAATCTTTGTCAAACGGAGCGGTGCAGTCAAAAGAAAAAAAACAATGTTTTTATTAATTTTCCATTTTTCTATGAATTTTTCAAACCCTAACCCATCCTAGGTATTTAATTTGAAACTACTGACACACTGGGCGGGTCCGGGGTATTAGTGAGCCACGCTCACTTTTGCCCTTGTTTTTATAATGTTTTACATGGATTTGTCATGGTTCTCACGCTTCACTAAAAGATAATGAAATTTGATACTTTTGTTGGTAGTAGGTGGGCCTCAAAATGTACCTGTAAATGTCTTCCATCCACACATTGTTAAAATTGAAAACCATAACGTTGTGAGTGTGTGGTATTTATATAATCATGAATCGTACTAAAAGAGTGTTACCTCCCTTACGCTAAGCGTACTGTATGTTTACTCCATTGCTCTAACACGTCAATTATTCTCGCTGTATAAAGTCCTCAAACCTCGCAACATAGAAACCAGACCAACATTCACGCCTGTCTCCATGATAACAGTGAAACGTGTTAAGGACAATAATTTACAGTTAGGACTGTTTCGAAAATAGGTTCACTATCATTAATGCATTACATATGTACATATATACTTATACATGTGAGACAAACATATCGTTTATTATAAAACAATGTTTACATCTATCTAACTCATTACTCATATCATACCAACAAGGACATGTTTAGTGTACAAATGTACAGTTAGGAATTGTTAAACCTTTAGCCTGAATTGTTTTATAGGGACCATCAGTCATCCGTCCATTGTAAAGACTTCCGCCAAAAGTTATATATATATATATATCATTATATATATTTTTGAAGGGGTATACGACCGGAAGTCTCACCTTTTGCCATAAACATTGTTTTAAGCCAGCCATGGATATTTATTGCTACTTTATTATTATTTACTAAAACTGTAATGAAATTTGGTACTTAAAAATTTATCTTCAGGTTTGTTTTGGCGATACAGATACTATTTCAGTTTACAGTTTACAGTTAAATACATGTATACAACAGAGCGACAATCATGGCAAACATCAGTCACCCGCTTTGTCACAAGTTTGTGGTACGAAAGTCAAACAAGAACATTACAGACATCATGGTGATATTATTTTGTAATATGAAAGTTATATGACATCACATAGTCAATACTACAAGTTGAAAGTTTGTTTAGTCATTTTGTTTTGTTCTGCTTTTACGCTGACAGATAAATCAAGGGAGACAACTCTCAAGGGGGGTAACTGTGGATGATACTTGTTCTGTCATCCCGGGGCCATGTTTTTGTGTATTTTCACACAAGTGAAAGTACTGGTTTTTGTTTTCATGACAGTAAAACATGACTTTTGATGAAAAACAACAACCTTTATAACTGTATATGCCACACTCATTTCTATAATAAATGTATTGTTAACAGTTTTTACTTGCAGAGATTTTACTGAAAGCTAGCATCGATTTGACAAAATATCCAGGTTAGCTACAGTGCTGTGGCAGAGAATTCTCATACTTGATACACTGATACCAAATGTAAGGCTGTCCTCCAGGCAGACACTGTACACGTCAGGACTTTTTTCTTGTAGGATGATGATGATGATGAGTTAGATGCCGACTTAGATTGAAGACACTGATGAAAAACAAGAAACAGTGAAGAATGTTCAAAGACTGAATCAGAACGATCAAGGCCAGATGGATGATAGTGACACAGAGTGTGGAGGATGTACACCAGCAGAGTGCCCTGGGAAGCACAATGACGGTGACACTTCATCAGACGGGGAAAACATGGACCTTGCAGGTATTCCCACGGACAACCCTCAAGGAACAATTGAAGGAGCAGGCTGTACTGCAGAGGGTGCAGAAAATAAAGATGTTGATGAAGAGAGTGCTGATGGATGCTCGTTTGATGACATCACAGATGAGGAAGAGGGGGAAGGAATAGAAGACTTGTCACAGCTTGGAGCAGGTACTGTAGAGGTCAAACTCCAGACTGTTCAACAAGAGTCATATCAACTTGTAGAGAAAGGTTTGTATGAAGCAATTTCACTTGCTTGTTGAGGATGCTGTTTTAGAATCCCACCATGTCAGTGACTATTAAAGACAGTTAGGTGCTACCTGAGGAATTGAAGCATATGGACAGGAAAATATGTTTCAATTAATAAGATAGATACTAGTATTTTGAAATCCTACTCAATTACTGAAATTAACATGTGTTTTCCAAAGAGAAACACATCACCAATCGCACCTGTAGAACAACCATAGTAAGGTGTATCTGCCAGATAGTCCTGTTACTACACTTTGTATCACAACGAGGGGCGGTCGGGAAGCCTAGTGGTTAAAGCGTTTGATCGTCAGGCCGAAGACCAAGGTTCAATTCCCGACATGGGTGCAATGTGTGAAGCCAATTTCTAGTGTCCCCCACCTTGATATTGCTTGAATATTGCTAAAAGCTACGTCATAAGCATACTCCGCCACTTACTGTATCACAACGTGTTCAGTGTATTTACTACTGCATTAACAGTTTCAAGTACTTGCAATAGTGTGCATATTAGATTCGACAAAATCGTGTGGAGCCTTGCACAATCCTTTATTCAATTGTTTAACTCACTATAACTGTTTGTTACCACGGCTAGGGTGGTGAAAATAAACTTATTTGGTATGGAGCTACAGCTGCAAAACCAGGTTTTGTTAAATGAGTCTAAATATGTTTTACTTAAAAACAGCTTGTAACAATGTAATTTTAATGGCAGACAATGTCTTTTGCAGCAGTATTTTGTTTGAAATTGAATCGGAGATAATTTATATTTTTGATGTATTTTTCAAATAGCTTGCGATCCAAATGTGACATGCTTGTTCCTTCGTAGATACCACGACACTAGCACAACACATTGTGGGATGTTGTCAACAACCACAGGGAGAAATAGCGTCAACACCACAGCAGGGGACACAACTCCAATCAGCTTCAGATGGTGATGTTGATCAGGCAACAAGCCAGGCACAATTGTCCTCAACTACATCTTGTGTAGTTCCTAACACAACCAGTCTACAGGACCCGACAATGGCAGCCCTGACACCAGCGTCCACATCATCCCTTCTACCCAGAATACCAGGATCTGTTGCATCAGAGATACAGTCATCCGGGCTACCTGTGGTACCAGTGACTGGTGATTCTTCTGTGGGTGAGTGCAGATAAACAGGGACATGACTAATTTTCAAATATCTAATACCTTCAACATGGTGTTTTCAAATGACTTTGCTTTTTTAAGCTAATAGGCTATGACAGTATTTCCTTAATTATTTTACACGGATGACATTAACCCTATACAACCACTTCTAAGGTCCAGCTCTGCTCAATTGCAGGTTTGCCACTTTTGAACAATCGTAACACGAAAGTCACTATTTACGAAAATATAGCCACTAATATGAAGGAGCAGTTTGTTGTCTGTTCATGACAGTTGTCTGTTTTCAGTATCATGAGAAATATATCTGTTTAAATATGGAACACAATCTTGAAAGCTTCAGGTATATGGTTTCTGTTACAGTCACCCAGTACAACCTTATCCAAGTACGGCAGCAGTTTGGTGATGTGACAGTCCAGGGCGCCAGGAATCTGAACATTGGCGGAACGCAAAACGTTGGTACACCTCAGACCAACCCAGAGGAAGAGGAGAAGCCACTGACTGTTGCAGCACGGAAGATCAGGAGTAAGTTATCTAGATCTCTGTACTTGTTCTCACAATGATCGTTAAGCTGAAGCATATAAAGTGACGTCCAAAAGAAACTTTACCAACTGAAAATATAAATTTCAGACAAAGTTAAATTTTTTTCGATGAAGTCTATCTAAAACACATAACCTAAATACAACAATAGTGTTGGCAGAAAATGTTAATCGTCTGTTACATGTCTGCGAGATAACACGCGAAAAAATGAAACACACGTGCACCACGGACAACTGCAAATGCACGTGCGGGTAAGGGTATAAAACGATTGCAGGGGCAAGTCAGACATCCACAGTGATAAAAAAACACAAAAGAAATGCCACGACTCACAGTCGAACAACGTGAACGAGCCTTGGGTATGGTACAGATGGCAGCCACCCACGCCAATATCGCACGAGCCTTCGGTTGCTCCCGTGTTGCCGTTACCAACTTGATGCAACGTTACAGACAGACAGGGCGGACCGCTGACAGGCCAAGAACAGGCAGACCGAGGGTGACTACGCCCAATGATGACCGGTACTTGCGTACCTTGCACCTCCGAAATCGCTTCCTGATAGTGACGTCATCGGCGACAAATGCCTTAGGTCACAGGGTTAGTCGACAGACAGTGGCCAGGAGACTCAGGGCTCATGGAATCAGGGCTTTTAGACCATACAGAGGACAGCTATTGACAGCGCAACATCGTCGTCTGCGATTGAGATGGGCCTGGACTGTACAACGTTGGCAACGACGTGACTAGAAGAGGGTTGTCTTCACTGACGAAAGTCGATTCTGTATGTTTAGGGCTGATGGAAGACAACGTGTTTACCGCCGAAGGGGTGAACGAACGGCGGCGTGTTGCGTGCAGGAGGTCGTACCATATGGTGGAGGGAGTGTCATGGTGTGGGGAGGGATCTGTGGGCAGCTCAGCGGTACATGGATAACATTCTTCGTCCAGTTGTCCTACCATTTCTCCAACAGCAGCCACGGGGTGTTATTTATCAGCATGACATCGCTTGAGCCCATACAGCCAGAATTGTCTCTAACTTCCTAGCAGCTAACAACGTCAACGTCCTGCCGTTGCCTGCACGCTCACCCGACATGTCCTCCATAGAACACCTCTGGGACTTGATGGATCGTAGGGTTCGACAACGACCACACTCTCAAGCCAACCGGCACTGATCTTGGCCCTCGACGACGAGTGGCGTCAAATCGCACGTGACCTCATCAGACGACTGACATTTTCTGTGTGTCGAAGAGTTTTTGCGTGTATTGAGGCATTTGGTGGTCACACACGCTACTAATGACTTGTTACTGAACGTGAGCGATTGTTTATGTACTCTGCCTATTGTCCATAATCCTGAAAGCTCAAGTTTGATCTTCTTAATACACTTTGCTTCATGCATGTATGTTTTGTTGTTTTTGAGCAAGAGTGATTTCAAACTCTGGTAAAGTTTCTTTTGGACGTCAGTTTATATTTTGTAGTAAACGCTGGCTCTGAAATCTTCCTATTCGTTCCAACTGTCACTTCGGGTACACAGTTTAAGTGTTCATGACTATAATTTATATCGAGTTTTGTAATGAACCTAGTAAAGCCACTGAAGTATTATTTCTTGATATTTGTTACATTTCACATTATGTTACATCCCTACAGGACCATACACAAATTGCAGCGTGCCCATGATTTTGTCATCTAAATCACTCAGATCAAATGTAAATTGATAGGTTGTTGGAACATATTTGTATCTAGTGATACAACATACACATTAGAAATTTATACAACATATATGGCAACTCCTAAGTAGCTGGAAGATAAAATCAACAAATATATATGAATCAGAATTTCTGTTTGGTTTGGAAAAGTGAAAACAAGGTAATTTGGCCAAGACGTTTATCTTAGGCTTCAGGTATATTAGTGATCAGATATCAGTCAATGACCCTTTCACTGGTTTAGCCACCTGGACTATAAATAAGGGAGACCAGTCAGACCGTCTGGGCTGTTTTTCGTATTTAGATCTATGAATGAAGATGCTGAATGACACAACACCTCTCCATAAGACTGTATGGCAAGGGGGATGACTTCAACTTTCAAAAGTAAAATTTCCCATTATGTCAAGCAGGAAACTTACCCTCACCTACTTGCAAGGACCTGGTATCATCACTACTTGATAGTGTTTCATAAACAGGTGTTTATGATATATAGACAGAATCCTTCAGTGGACTGTTGCTTATGATTATCAAAACGGTTTTGTCACTTTAATTCTATACTTTGGTATTCTGGCTGCTTCGTTCATATGAACATTCTGTTATTATCCACACATAGAACAGGTACTATTCGAACGTCTCTTAAACTGCCTGCTCTCTGGTTCAGAACAAATAACTTGCAGATCTATATCGAAAAATAGAGAAATGCTGTGAAAAGCAGTGTTTCAATTTAAACAATTTGAAGGCGGCACAATTAATTCAAGATATTTTGTGTAAACTATTGATTGTAAATCGACAATATTCAACATATTACTCCCTCACTCCCTCAGTCACTGACACATTTCAAAATCAGTGATCTCAGAGTCAAACTGTATGTGATTGATAATGACCACACTTTATTCCTTTAATTGAGGTCAAATTAAAATATGGCAGACTGTATACTTTTACACATATTTTTATATGGTTATATATATATATATCGAATGTGCCCTGCTTTCACAGAAAGAACGGAATCTAGGATTCAGTCAATGAGTAAAGACATGGTGGAGACAGAAGCCCTCCAGAAAGTGACGCAGAAGCTGGACAGAGGAGCAACATGGGTGACAATTAAAGGAAGGCCGGGAGAGGGGAAGTCTACGATAGCCTACATGGCCCTCAAAGATCAGCACACTCAGGGGAGACAAGTGTATCAGGTGGTGTCACCAGAAGAGTTCAATGAGGTCATAACGGCCAGCATTAACCCTGTCATTATGTTAGATGACATATTCGGTGATCTAGAATTTGATGTAGCAGAATGGGCTAAGTGGAGACCAAGTCTACGACCTTTTGTGGATATGAAGGATACAGACAAGACCACTGAAAAGGACTCTATGGATCAGTCCACTAAAAGTAAAAAAGAGAGAACAAAGGATGAGCAAACAATTCTCAAAAGAACAGCACCAAACAAAAGCAAAACGATCATTATCCTCGTAGGCCGTGACTATGTGCTGAAATCCTCACTGGCAGACTTGGGAAGGATGGCAGGTTACATATCTATTCCCCAGTATGTGGTGGAAGTCTCCTCACAGAGAGACTCTAATGAACGAAGGAAGATATGGCATGTTCATGCCAAAACAAAAAACATAGACTTTGATGAGTCAACCGTGTCTCGGATATGTCAATCTGACTGTCCACATGGCTTTCCCCACGTGTGTAAAATGTTTGTCACAACATATGAAAAGGATCAGACTCAGCTTCCAGTAGATACCTTTTTTCAAGCGCCTCTAGCATTCCTCAAACAGACCCTAGATAAATTTCTTAAAGATGAGATAAAGGTTTCCCTGTTCAAGGCTATGATTAAAAGGGATGGAAAGATTAGTGGACAAGAGTTGGAAGAGGAGGATGCCCATGGATACAAATACATAACAGCTGCTGATGATTTGGCTGGATCTTACCTCAAGAAGGAAGATGACACATACATGTTTGACCATCCCTCTATATATGACAGTGTCGCTTTAATTCTCAGCATGAAACAATCAAAGTTTATCATCGATTTTTGCAGTTTGTCATTCATCCATCAGAGACTTCGTCTTAAAGCCTCCACAAGACCAGGGGAAAACGTTCCTGGTGAGACAGATCTTGTTGCAAACATCTCCTGGAACTATGCTAAACATCTAGCAAGAAGATTTGCAACTGAAATTTCAAGGAGCAATTTGTTGCATGTCTTATCGCACCATGCATGTTGTAATCCAGAGTTTATAGACTTGCTAATGGGCTGCCTGAAGACACAGTGTCACATGTCTGTTTCTGATATTCTCAAACTAGCTGATAACTCTTCAAAACAGTCATTTTGTAAATTAATTTCTAGCAGCAAGTCACATCATCTCATCAAATTTATTATGGAGAAAGAAAACAGAACATTAAGCCAGAGTGAACTGAGAGACATATTACTTGGGGTCTGCATGAATGCTGCTTGTAGTGTACTGACCTATATCAGTGAACACTATCAGCTTGAGATAGATGCTAGATATGGTAGGAAGGAGAAAACGCCACTCATGTTAGCAGCAGAAACCAAAGACAGTGTGTTTGTAAATCAAATTATGGCCCTTCACCCTGACCTGAATGCAAGAGACCGTCACGATCAAACAGTCTTTCAATACCTTTGCGCAAATGGCCTTACATCAGCTGTTGAACATGCAATCAACATGGGCGTGGATGTTAATGAGCATTTTTGTCTATTGTTTTGTATGTACCAAACTCCTGTATACCTTGCCATAAAAAATGGTCATGTCGGGGTGGTGGAACTGCTGCTGCAGAAAGGATGTGATATAGATAAACAGAGAGGTCTTGGTTGTGCATTGATGAGCCAGAACACGCATATGACGCGTTGTCTTTTAGACAGAGGAGCACAGGTTGACGGTGATGCTGTGTACATTGCTTGTAGGTTAGAACACTTGCCTACCATCAAGATGTTGTTTGAGGAGGGTGCCAAAGTTGACATGATTGCATCTGATGGCGATACTCCTCTTCACTGCGCATGTGGAAGAAACCCTAATGTTGTCTTGTTTTTGTTGGGGAAAGGAGCAAATGTGAATGTCCAGAACAATATAGGTGACACACCACTTCATACAGCAGGAAGGGATGGATATACAAAGTGTGTTGGTGTGTTACTGAAGGCTGGAGCTAATGTGAATGTACAGAACAATACAGGTGACACACCACTTCATACAGCAGCAGCAGCAAGGTGTGGATCTACATGGAGTGCTGATGCGTTACTGAAGGCTGGAGCTTATGTGAATGTACAGAACAATACAGGTGACACACCACTTCATGCAGCAGCAGCAGCAGCAGCAGCAGAAAAAGGGTACGGATCTACAAAGTGTGTTGATGCGTTACTGAAGGCTGGAGCTAATGTGAATGTACAGAACAATACAGGTGACACACCACTTCATGCAGCAGCAGGAGCAGCAGCAGCAGCAAAAGGGTACGGATCTACAAAGTGTGTTGATGCGTTACTGAAGGCTGGAGCTAATGTGAATGTACAGAACAATACAGGTAACACACCACTTCATGCAGCAGCAAGAAGGTATAGATTTACAGAGAGGGTTGGTCTGTTACTGAAGGCTGGAGCTAATGTGAATGTACAGAACAATACAGGTGACACACCACTTCATACAGCAGGATGGGATGGATATCCAGAGTGTGTTGATCTGTTATTGAAGGCTGCAGCTAATGTGAATGTTCAGAACAATACAGGTGACACACCTCTTCATAAAGCAGCAGCAGCAAGGTATGGATCTTCAGGGAGTGCTGATGCGTTACTGAAGGCTGGAGCTTATGTGAATGTACAGAACAATACAGGTGACACACCTCTTCATAAAGCAGCAGCAGCAAGGTATGGATCTTCAGAGAGTGTTGATGTGTTACTGAAGGCTGGAGCTAATGTGAATGTACAGAACAATACAGGATACACACCACTTCATGTAGTAGCAAGAAGGTATGGATCTACAGAGAGGGTTGGTCTGTTACTGAAGGCTGGAGCTAATGTGAGTGTACAGAACAATAAAGGTGACACACCACTTCATGAAGCAGCAGCAGCAGCAGCATGGTATGGATTTACAGGGTGTGTCGATGTGTTAGTGAAGGCTGGAGCTAATGTGAATGTACAGAACAATACAGCCGACACACCGCTGCATGCAGCAGCAAGGTATGAATCTAAAAAGTGTGTTGATGCGTTACTGAAGGCTGGAGCTAATGTGAGTGTACAGAACAATACAGGTGACACACCACTTCATAAAGCAGCAGCAGCAGGGTATGAATCTACAAAGTGTGTTGATGCGTTACTGAAGGCTGGAGCTAATGTGAGTGTACAGAACAATACAGGTGACACACCACTCCATGCAGCAGCAGCAGCAGCAAAGTATGCATCTACAGAGAGTGTTGATGCGTTACTGAAGGCTGGAGCTAATGCGAATGTACAGAACAATACAGGTGACACGACGCTGAGTACAGCAGCAGCAGCAAGAGAATGGTATACATCGACAAGGTGTATTGATGAGTTATTTAAGGCTGGAGCTGATGTGCATGTACAGAACAATACAGGTGACACACCACTTCATAAAGCAGCGCCAGCAGGATGGCTTAGATCTGCAGTGAGTGTTGCTGTGTTACTGGAGGCTGGAGCTTATGTGAATGTACAGAACAATACAGGTGACACACCACTTCATAATGCAGCAGCAGCACCAAAGTATCGATCTACATGGAGTGTTGATGCGTTACTGCAGGCTGGAGCTAATGTGAATGTTCAGAACAATACAGGTGACACACCGCTGCATGCAGCAGCAGCAGCAGCAGCAGCAGCAGAATGTAATGGATCTACAAAGTGTGTTGATGTGTTACTGGAGGCTGGAGCTGATGTGAATGTCCAGAACAATACAGGTGGCACACCAGTATTTCATTGACCAGGACATCCAAAACCTTATCAGAGATATGCCACTGTTATTAGAAATAATTGCAGACAAAAATGATTTCATGGATGAATGGTGGCTGTATTGGATTGCCAAATACTACCTTGATTATATTTCAATGTGAGAAATAAAAGAGGGGCTGAGGGGCAGAGCCAAAAAGAGTTTATAACTTGGACACATTTAACATCCCCACGGTATCACCATATGTACAATTGCTGAGTAGAATGAGAGGAATGCAGGTTGTTGCCTTCCATTATATGCACATTCTCTGTATGAAAATTTGATTTTGATTTTTTATTTCCGATACCATACCTATTCATCTGGAACTTGTTCAATCATTCCTTTTAAATATTGTTTCAACTTCAATAAACTTGATTTGTATATAAACAACTTTGCCTTTGTTTTCATTTGTGTTCCACTCCTGATAGCCATCGAACCCCGGACCTTCCGCTCCGGGCGGACGCTCTACCACTAGACCACAGAGGCAGTAATTTTCACGACATTTTATACTCGTCATTGTATGGATGGAGCGGGGCCCGATGGGAGAAAGTGAATCCTAACTTGGAATCTATATAGTCATATGCTTGATATCATGGGGACCGGTGTCAGATAGTTGAATTCCCCCCCTAGCCTAATTTCCCCCGGAAAAAGGGCTATATAGCCAAATTTCCCCCCGGAAAAGGGGCTATATTGCCAAATTTCCCCCAGAAAACTGGCTATATAGCCATACTTCCCACGGAAAGCACACTATATGGCCATATTTCCCACCCGGAAAATACACTATATAGCCAATTTTCCGCTTTGGAGTCAGATTTCCCCCATAATTAAATATATGTTTATTATCAAAAGTACCTAGATGTACAGTCGGCTGATGGAGTAATTTACAAGAGAAACCATGATTAAAATCTTGTGTTTTTTTGCGATATACATTCTTAATTTTAATAAAAAGAGGATAGTTCATTTTGACAGTGAGATATGGCGGATCTGTCACTCGACAGATCAGCCTTTTGTCACTGACGAAATGAACTGTTTTATTTATTATATATTTATTTGGTAGGGTATGTGTTGTTTTTTATTTTTATTTTGTTGTGGTGTATTTGAGGTAAATCAGCGAATCTAAAATCTCCCAACTGTCTTCAGTAACAATACATTACATTGCTAGTTGAAACACACTTTGCTAGTTGATTTCTATCAGGTCGTCACTGTAAACTTGAACGGCAGTCATTCTCCTTATTATTGTTGCAATGACATATTACTTTTCTGTCATCGAGAATCCTCAGTCTCTCACTGTCAAGTATATTAAATAGTATATTTACAACGTATATAGCGCACATATCTCCCCGAACAGAGGTCTGTATATTTTGCATTCCAGAACTTCCCAGCTACATGTGAACTATGCAACCAAAGCTGCCTGTCAGGCGCTAGAAGATTACCCATTCACATTACCATTACCACATTAACTCCTTGGTACCCATTTACTGTTTGTGGACAGAGGCATGCATGAACAAGATCACTTGCCAAAGGTGACGCCGCAAGTTTTTCAACTCGTGTTTCAGTGGAAGATATATACGTGAGTACTGTTTCCGTCATCTGTTCATTTAACAACTGATGAGCGGATTCTGTTTAGTGCACAGGGTTGTGAACTGCAGGCTATGCTTGCGACAACACTTTTAGGACCTGTACTAATGTCAGCCCTTAGGTTAAATAACTAATATAACTACAGTGGCTAGCAAAATTTCAGGATGCAAATTCAACAGTCTGGACTCTTTACAATCAATGTGTTTTACAGCTTGCAAATTTTTGTTCAGACCAACCAAATCACTTTTTATACCCTTGTTGGTATTACGTTTTACCATCTGGAAGAAGATATCTTGTACCTTGTTTTAAATCAAATAGAGCCAAATCTTCATTTGTCCCAGTTGAAGGTATTTCCTGGGAACATACAATTCGGATGAGGTTTGGAGTTCAAGCTGGTCTATTGCGCCAGAAACACAGGACAAAACTTTGTCAAGAAATTCTAAAATATAACTGTCTTCCACTGTTTTACTGTTTGTTGATTCCAACACACCCTTAATCACTGCATTGTAGAAAATCACTGACGTGAAGTATTTACTAGTATCCAGCAACAATTCATAAATAAGTTCTCTGGCATGAATAACAAGTGGCAAGTCGGAATCGTCTATGTTTTCAACACTTAACTTGTTATACAGGATTCCTAAAAGCTTGTTTTCAATTGAGACACGTTTAACTCCAATTTCTCTGTCAAATATGGCATGCAAGACGTTCGCTTTTGCCAGTGCTGTTTGATCAATGTTTGTGAAATGGTGCAGTAGGTTATGTTTTTTTAAAAATCTGAGGGATATAGGGGAAATTCTTCTATATAGCCATACTTCCCCCTTGTATTAAGGGGGAAAATCTGACTCTAAAGCGGAAATATGGCTATGTAGTCATTTTCCCCCGGGGAAATTAAGCTAAATAGCCCTTTTTCCGGGGGGGAATTAGGCTATATAACCCTTTTTCCGGGGGGAATTTAGGCTAGGGGGGAAATCCCACTCTCTGACACCGGCTCGAAAATGTCTTTGGGTCATAATTACTTAAAAGATCGTCATCCCCATCCTATATACCCAAGCTCATCTTCATTAGACAATACATCCATGCTACCAGGACTGGCCCTTCTGTTCATAAATTTTGTCCGGCACTCCCAAAGGAGTTACATCCAGTTTGCTGTGACAATCATCAGATGATTGTAATACTGATAGAGCTCATTCTTAATTTAATCAGTCGTCTAAGGCGCTGCGATTCGCTGTGCAGAGTTGCGTCCCTTGGGCACGCAAGAAACCTATGATTGTGGATTAGAATCCCGATTTGGTTTGTCAACACTATACCCGTGCTCGTTGGTTTCGCCCTGTGAGATCTGTTTCACTGGGCTTTCCTCCCACATTAAGCTGACACGCCTTGATATAACTGGAATACTGTTAAAAGCGGCGTTAAACCCAACTCATTCGTCCACTCAGATATTGCTTTTTATGTTTCCTTATTCAAAACTGATGTTTCAAATTCCCACATAAACAAGTTATTAATGTTAGTCTTTTTTCTCTTTAGACAAACATATCTGCATTGCACAACTGTTATTATTTTATTTCATATCTTTGTATACTTGTGCATGTGCACTGGTATTATATATCACATGCATGAAATTTTAGCAGTTATCATCTATTACTGAAGTGAATGTTATATCAATAATAATAGGAAACATAAAAAAGGACTGTAGTATGCTTTCATGTTTGCTGGTGTCCCCCGCCGTGATATTGTTCAAATATTGCTAAAAGCGGCGTAAAACCAAACTCACTCACTCACTTTCATGTTTGAAGAACCATTCAATTCATTGTTGAAACATTTTCAATTACTTATAGAAGTTTCTTTGATAGTCGTAAAATCAAAATAAACTGACGTCCAAAAGAAACTTTACCAACTGAAAATGTAAATTTCAGACAAAGTTTTTCGATGAAGTCTATTTAAAACACATAACCTAAATACAACAATAGTGTATGCAGAAAATGATAATCGTCTGTTACATGTTTGTGAGATAACACGCGAAAAAGTGAAAAACACGTGCACCACGGACAACTGCAAAAGCACGTTCGGGTAAGGGATTAAAACAATTGCAACGGCAAGTGAGACATCCACAGTGATAAAAAAAACACAAAAGAAATGCCACGACTCACAGTCGAACAACGTGAACGAGCCTTGGGTATGGTACAAATGGGAGCCACCCACGCCCATATTGCACGAACCTTCGGTTGCTCCCGTGTTGCCGTTACCAATACTTGATGCAACGTTACAGACAGACAGGGCGGACCGCTAACAGGCCAAGAACAGGCAGACCGAGGGTGACCACGCCCCATGATGACCGGTACTTGCGTACCTTGCACCTCCGAAATCGCTTCCTGACAGTGACGTCATCGGCGACAAATGCCTTAGGTCACAGGGTTAGTCGACAGACAGTGGCCAGGAGACTCAGGGCTCATTGAATCAGGGCTTGTAGACCATACAGAGGACAGCTATTGACAGCGCAACATCGTCGTCTGCGATTGAGATGGGCCCGGACTGTACGACGTTGGCAACGACGTGACTGGCAGAGGATTGTCTTCACTGACGAAAGTTGATTCTGTATGTTTAGGGCTGATGGAAGACAACATGTTTACCGCCGAAGGGGTGAACGAACGGCGATGTGTTGCGTGCAGTAGGTCGTACCATATGGTGGAGGGAGTGTCATGGTATGGGGAGGGATCTGTGGGCAGGAGAGGACACCGCTGGTCATCGTTGAGGGAAACTTGACAGCTCAGCGTTACATGGATAACATTCTCCGCCCATTTGTCTTACCATTTCTCCAACAACAGCCACGTGGTGTTATTTATCAGCATGACAACGCTTGAGCCCATACAGCCAGAATTGTCACTAACATCCTCGCAACCAACAACGTCAACGTCCTGCCGTGGCCTGCACGCTCACCCGACATGTCCCCCATAGAACACCTCTGGGACTTGATGGATCGTCGTGTTCGACAACGACCACACTCTCAAGCCAACCGGCAAGAACTGATCTTGGCCCTCCAAGAAGAATGGCGTCAAATCCCACGTGACCTCATCAGACGACTGACTTTTTCTGTGCGTCGAAGAGTTTTTGCGTGTATTGAGGCATTTGGTGGTCACACACGCTACTAATGACTTGTTATTGAACGTGAGGGATTGTTTATGTACTCTGCCTATTGTCAATGATTCTGAAAACTCGAGTTTTGTACCACCCCCACCTTTGGGGGTCTCTGACGTCATTCTCGATAGCGGTATGATTGTCATTTTTAGTGCTGATTATGTTGAGAAATTGATCTTCTCAATGCATTTTACTTCATGCCTGTATGTTTTGTTGTTTTTGAGCAAGAGTGACGTCAGTTTAGATCCAAATTAAATGATTAAATTTAGGAGTCTGATTCATTTCAGTCAATCCGTCTAAAAATCAAGTCTCATTTTTCATGAATTATGTATTTTGGGTGAAAATATAAGTCAATTTATACATTGCCTGAGTGATTCAGTCACTATAAATATTGCCTGATTATAGACACTTGCTGATACATATATAAGTATTATATGTAATATGCAAAAACAAATTACATAAATAAACGAAAATGCTACAAACCAATCAGAACGCGCTTATGATTTCAAGTTCTTTGTCAAAGAATTCCTCAGAAATAATTTTTGATTTTACATGTCTTGCATCTAAAAATATACCCAAGACACAGTTAAATATCTTCAATCATACTGTATAATTCCG